CCCCGGAGACGCAGGGATGGAGGATATGGACACGCAGCCCTTGGAAAACCCCAAGGGGCTGGGAAGCCCTGGGTGCCCTCCCTGGGCTGGTTCCTCCTCTCTCTGCACGTCCTGGTTGGTTCCTCCCCGTCCTCTCCAGGATGAGGGAGCAGGAGGAGACCCGGGACCGTCCCGGCTCTGCCGGTCCCTCAGCCCCTCCAGCACCCCCAGCTCTGACCACTCAGACCAGTTGGCTGCTGGTGTTCAAACCAGTGCAGACCATTCTGTTCCAGGACTGGGATGAGCCTTGAGCTGCTTTTGGAGCCTTCAGACACGGGTTGGACTCTGATCTTGCTGTTGTGGGTGCGGCTCAGGCTGAGGCACGAGAGGAACAGAAGGACCCTCCTGCTTCTCCCAGGCTGTGTCTGGGCCCCCCTTTGGAGCCAGCACCCTCTGGTGACCCTTTGGCACTGGGGAGTGCCATCTGGCCTCGCTGAGGGACTCGTGCCTCAGATAAATAACAAATTCTAGCAGGCCCCCTTCCACACAGGCTGGATGGAAACCAGAATCCCACAATGGTTTGGGATGGGAGGAACCTTAAAACCCATCCAGTTCCACCCTCCCGACCACCTTCCACCAGACCAGGTTGCTCCAAGCCCTGTCCAAAACCTGGCCTGGCAGTGACACTGTAAATAAGACCAGAGCAGAAGCTGCCTGGAAATCTCTTTATTGCAGGAGCAGCTGGTGGGATAATTGCCAGCAGGTCTGTCCTCTCCCTGGCACCTTGGAAATGCCTGTCTCTTATCAGGGAAGGAGCCACCAGCACAGTCCCCTGCTCACTGATAAGCTCCAAGATGCTTCTGTAGCTCCAGGATCCTTCCATGCTTCCTAATTGAATTAATAACTGTCTCAAACCCACAATCTGTCTCCTTCCCTCCACTCCCCAGCATGGGCACTCCTCAAATTAAGCAGCTCCAGCGAGTTTGATGTTTTATGCAAGAGTAACTTCCAGCAGGGAATGGCCAGCTCAGCTCTCTGGGATCAGGGGGAGCAGCCCCTTTACCTGCAGCTCCCGGGGTTTGGCTCCTGCTCCGTGCAGGGATGAGGGTGGGATGGGAAAAGGGGGCTCTGCTAATTGGCTCAGTGGGTCTGGAGCAGCTGTCCCAGCACCAGGCAATTATCCCAGAGCTCGGGATGTGCTGCTGCAGGAGCCTGCTGGTCCCTGGTGTCACACAGGGAGGGGGCTGACTCTTTGGAACGAAAGAAAAACAGCATTTTGAGGGCTGTGTCCCGTCCAAACCAGTGCCATTTCCTCCCAGAAACCTTCTATTCCTGAAGGAAAAGCTCGTGGAAGCTGGAAATCTCCTCCCAGTTGGGTCAGCAGTGGCTGTGCTGAGCAAGTCCCAGCTGGAAAGAACTCTGCTGACCAGCAGGGAAAACAATCAGGAGGTAATGGGGAATTAATAAGAAAGTACTAATTGTGTTCTGACAGGTGTGTTAACTGTGTTCTCACAGATGGCAGTGACTGGACTGAGGTTTAACAGCTTTACATTTCGAGATTAACGGGGAGCACGTGGTAAAGAATTCCTATTTATTTAACAAATAAAATAGATGTTGTTACCACTCCCATCCATGCCCTTTCTCGTGGGATGCTCTTTTCCAGTCGAGCCAAATTAGGCTCATCCTCCCCTCAGCTTCCACCCAGACTCTGTGTCCCGTTGCTCTCCTCTGCTGTCCCTTTTTCCCTGCCAAGGTTATGGACTGCAACTGTGAGGGATTGATTTTCCCCGAGGAAATCAATGCCAGGAGTTCAGGTGAGTTTTTATCTCCAGTTCCAAGGTGTCTGGTCGGTGCTGGGGGTGAAATGCCTGCATCTCACTCATTAAACAAACAGATTAAAGCCATAATTAAACAGTTCCAAGACAGGGACAAGGGTAGAATTAAGAACTGAGGGTAAATCAGGGTGGTAAATCTCAGAACCTCGGAGACTGATTGTCTGGGGGCACTTCTGTCCCCTCAGAACTCTCATTTTTGATGTTACCAAGATGTCCTTGGGCCCTGTGGTTTGGGCAACAGGGAGGACAGCCACGAAATCAAGGTCTCCTCCAATTCTGCAAGGAGCAAAGTGACCCGCTCGGGATTGTCTGGGCTGCTTCCAGCCAGGAGAGCAGGAACGAGGGCAAACCCAGCCCTGCACCTCCCCAGCGACCTTCAGGAGCGGTGCAGATCAATACCAGCACCAAAATAAACAGAAACAGGGGCGAGTGGAACGTCTGAACGTGAAGATTTGGCAAAGCAGCTGCGGGGAGGTGACTCCAGAGCCTCCCTGGGCCCCGGCCCCTTCCCGGCATTATTTGTGGGGTATTTTTAGGAATATGCTGAGAGGCAGACCTGGAAAGCCCAGGTGTGCAGGAGGCTGAACCCTTCCCCTTTGTGCTGAGCCCTGAGCCAGCTCTGGAGGGCAGGGAATGATCCATGGCTCAGCTGAGTGTTTTCCAAGCCATATTCCAGCTCTGAAGACACGTCCATGGCTCCAGAGCACTGCCCACAGCCTGGAGCCTCAGCACACCAGGGAGCTGGGCAATTAATTGGTGTTTTGGGCAGCCTGAACACACACACATGTGCCCAGAACCCCAGTGGTTATTTTTGAAGGGGCAGCTCCCAGAGGAGCAGAGGGGTTTATTTTTAACGAGAAGCTTTGTGAGGAACAAAGGGTCAGGGCTTTAACCAGCCTTAGATCTCAAGATTTTCCAGAGCTTTTCCCAAATGAACAAAGGCCAGGGAGGTTTTCAGGTTTTAGAGAGCTGTCCCTGTGCACTTGAGAAGCTTTAAAGCTCTACAGATTGCTCCAGACCTTTACACTTTGCTCCAGACCTGGAGGCTCTGGCTCTGTGGTGTCTCCTCGAGCCTCATCTCTTGCTGCTGCCATCGTTGTGTCCCCAGTCCCTCCCTCGTGTCCCCAGGGAGGATTTCCCAGCTGGCTCCTGAGATCCATTGCACCATCAGCCAGAGGTCAGAGAAAATCACCCTCCCAGGCTTCCCAGAAGGGCAGTTTTGGGGGGCTCAGCTTGGGCTGGGAGCGAGTTGCCTGAACTCAGGTGGTTAATGGGAGAACCCAAGTCCATCTCCATGCCCAGATTTGGGTCAGACCAATTTCCAAACAGGATAATTGCCTCCCAATCTAGGGCAGCCACCCCTCCTTCTGCCTCCTCGGGGATCCAGAGAACATTAAAAGGTAATTAGATATTTATAAGGACAGGCGAGCAGCCTCTGCCCGGGATGATGAATTAGCTTGAAGACATTATCTAATTCTCAGTTGGCTGAAATGAAATGTCTCCCTGCTGAAAAGGGACCTGCAGAGAGCAGCCTGAGCCTCCCTGAGATCCAGCAATGGTCCCTGAGATCCAGTAATGGTCCCTGAGATCCAGCAATGGTCCCTGATGAACAGGAATCTTTTTGCAGTCAGGGTGTGGCCAACAAGGCATTCCCTAGAAAATCCAGGAGGGTGAAGTGGCTTCACCACCAGTGACTCCCACTGGCAGAAGGAAATTCCTCCTGCTTCTCCTGATTTCACCCAAACCTGGATTTAAAAAAGGGGGGGGGAGATGTGTGTCAACCATTCCCATCCTCTTTGAGCAGCACAAAGGGAAATTGGGAATAACACGGACACAGCCCCAGGTGGCACCAACCCCCTCGAGGATTGGGCTGATCCCAACTGCTGTGTGTTGTCCCCCCGGACACCTCCCACCTCTCCCAAGGGAAACTCTTACCCAG